CCCGGGTTGCTAGTCCATACAGTTGACGGGGGTCTCCATGAATCTTTGGTGTAATTTAAGTAGGGGCTTATGATGTGGGGGGAAACTAAGTAATATTCTGTCGAAACAGAAACCTAAGTATCATTCTTGGTTTCATGCCATCACAGAAAGGGCGCAAAGTACTAACCGTTCCGGTCTTCGCGCCTTCACAATAGAATGAGCTACAGTAGGCGGGCTAACTCATGAAATGTCAACCGAAATTCCTAAATGCGTTTTCGTTTCGAAAAAACTAACTAAGTAGGGTTGCAAGACTAGTCAGCCTGCAACATAATTCTATAATAATTTAGTTACCTCAGGATGTCGGCTTTCGAATGAACTTTCTTCCGGCTGCATGCAAAAACTACACTCTTTAAAAAATGACTACTTAATTAACACGAATTTTTCTCATTGATTTTCGATGCCCCTAAAAATCCAATTATATTTCATAGAAAACATGCATTCATTCTTTTGCTCATTCGGTAGATAATTACGTCTTCTTCTAATTTTATACTCGAAGGAGGGACATAATTCAGTTTTAAAAATTTTTCCCAATTCCCGAATAATTTTGAACCCGCTCTACCGTCACACTTGGATTCAGGGTTTGCAAACTACAAGCTGTAGATTTTCTGCGTACGGAAAACTACACATTTCTCTACAGTAATAAAGGCGGACCATATAAGGGTTCATAAAAGTAAGCTGTGGATATGATCCATATTGTTAACTTTACAAGCCACATTTGCAAATGCAGAGACGTGGCGATTTATGAACGGCCATTTCACGGTATTTAAAAGTCCCTATATTAGAAACTTTTTTATGCAACCGGAAGGAAGTTCATTGGAAAGCCGGCATCCTGAGGTAACTGAACAGAAAATTAAGTAGGACCTAAGTATTATTTTTGGCTTCATGCCATAACAGAAAGGACGGAAAGAGCTAACCGTTCCGGTCTTCGCGTCTTCACAATAGGATGAGCTGCTTCAGCTATTTCCACTGCGTTCTATGGCCGTCCTTCCAAATTCTAGAGGAGAATATAATGCATCCTATTGACTCTTCCTGGACATTTTTCTCTTATCAGTTACTTCAGTGAGACAGAGTCTTCGAATGCTGTTTTTCTCATCTTAACCTTATACTAGCATTTTGTATTATCAACGGCCTAGACTGTTGTTTAGATCCCACTGATTATTTCATTCAAGCCAACACGCCCACTTTGCGCGGTCATTCCCTAAAACTACAAGCAGGGAAATCAAGTGTCAATGGACGAAAGTTCTTTTTCAGTAACAGAGTGGTTGCAGAGTGGAATTCCCTGCCTACCGATGTTGTAATCTCCTCTTATGTTAATTCCTTCAAGTGTAGCCTTGACGCGTATCAAGCATCCCAGTTACCAGCCTCACATCCACTCACATAACCCGGCACCAACTTATGCGTGTTTATACTACTTGTAATTAGTGAGTAACGGTTAATTATTACTTTTTGTATACTAGCTGTCTGCGATTATGTACAAAATCCCTTTTTAACCTTCCCACTTATCAATGTTTTTCTTTGACGACTTGTAACCAATACTGAGTTGAACGGCGCTCGCCTATATTTCCCTTAATAAACTGAAACTCAAAATAAATGCTATTTTGTCAATTACGAAGCAGACACGCAATTTACGCCTGGCGGCCATCCCGACGATCTAAATCAACATGCCCGCTGTCCGATGCATTAACCGGAACCTGTTCTGATTAACACATTACACGGAGGGCAGGTATTTTTTCACGACAGGCTTTTCTCTCCAGGTCAGGGAGTAGACCGTGTTCCGCTGCGTTTGGACTGTTTTAGGTCGCGAACGCAATACCAGGTCCAGTGAGCCCCGCTCTCCACCCCGTGCCCAGTCGCCGAGTGCGGCAGCCTCACCCTCCTCTCCCACCCGTGCCCGGAAGCCCCCTCCCCGTCCACGACCTGGATCTCCGCCGCCGCCACCGCCGTCACCGGCCTATCGAGTGCAAGACCTGCGGATCATTGCCACTGCCTGCTCTGTCTGCCCCAGTTGCCTACGCAATGTGTACGAGGAGGAGATCCTCTCCGAGTGGATGACCTGTGAGGATGAGGTGAACGTCCACTGCCCCTTCTGCCGCCACC